AGGCAAACAGACAGACAGACAGGACAGACAGACAGACAGGACAGGCAGACAGACAGACAGACAGGAAGTAATGTCACTCGCTGATCAAACAAGGTCCGAGGTTCTGGGTAAGAGAAAATTAGAAAGAAGGTGAAAAAGGGAGAGAGACAAACAGAGAGATGTGTCGAACTCTGATTAAACGGGGACTCGGGTGAGAGAGAGAGAGAGAGAGAGAGAGAGAGAGAGAGAGAGAGATGAAAAATACCCTGATGAGGATGACACTGTACAGACCATGTTGTATCGGTAATGGCGTGAGATTATATGATATAGTGACAAAATCTCGTAAAAATAGTTCCATTGGGTAAAAATGCTCTCTCTCTCTCTCTCCATCTCCCATTGCCTCACACCTGAGTCCATCGTTTGATGTCCAATCAAGAGTCTCTCACGTATCACTGAGTTGGTTAAAATCTTTTGCTAATATCTGACGGCTTCCAGTCGCGTTAATTCCGGTCCTCACCGTCACCGGCGCCTTGATGACGGCACGATATATGACGATACGTGGAGATTCATGAAGATACATAAGGATGAATGGAAAATTTATTCATCTAATGTGTTTTAATATACTGTAGATCAATGTTGCCTGGAGATCTGTGTGTGCGTGTGTGTGTGTGTGTGTGTGTGTGTGTGTGTGTGTGTGTGTGTGTGTGTGTGTGTGTGTAAGGTGATGATAGTACACACTCATCTGGATCATACTATTATTATTATGATTATCTTCATTTCTATATTAATCAGTATTGTTATTTACGTATCACCGAGCACACCGCCATTCCTTCTAATTACCCGAAACGATTATTTACCCAAGAATCATTATATATTAACTATGGTTCAGGAGGCCTTCTGGTCCTTAAGGTCGTGTCTTTAATTGTTACCTGGAGACTGTCAACCTCCCTCTAAGCTGGTAGCCTGTTCTTCCCTTTACAAGAGCACTGGACGTTTCCTCTGAAGGCTTCACTTAACACACACACACACACACACACACACACACACACACACACACACACACACACACACACACACACACACATTCCACTGTGGGTAGCCAAGATAGGTTGTTGCTGCCGGATAATCTACTTTGTCCTGATGAGTGTCTAGTATGGTTTTAACCTACCCTGACAGCGTTTCCGGAACAAGGGTTACCTAAGTTTAATTTGCAGCAGCTGTGTTTGCTTCAGGGCTTATGTGTGAGCCTAGAAATAATAATAATAATAATAATAATAATAATAATAATAATAATAATAATAATAATAATAATAATAATAATAATAATAATAATAATAATAATAATGATAATGATAATAATAATAATAATAATAATAATAATAATAATAATAATAATAATAATAATAATAATAATAATAATAATAATAATAATAATAATAATAATAATAATGCAGTTACTTCTACTACTGTATGTATGTATGTATGTATGTATGTATGTATGTATGTATGTATGTATGTCCCTTCTCCCTCTATAACTATACATCTGTCATGCGCTTTTGGGATAATGACGCAGATTAAGTCGTAAAACACAGTGGACTGTTTTGTTAAAGGGGGAATAATTTTTAGTCAGTCTGTCTTTCTCAAAACACGAAGTAAGTTGTCTCATGTATATTATAATTGACTCTAATGTATTTCGATATATATTTTGCTATTTTGAACACAAGACAATTTTATCTAGTTTATATTAATAGGTTAAGTTAGGTTAAGATATGAGAAGTAAAGATGGTAAGATAAGGTTTATTTAAATAAGGTTAGACTAATACTGAGGTTAGGTTAGGTTAGTTCATTATTTATAGTTTTTGTCATCATTATCTCCTCTTAACACAGCACGGGGAAATTTTCAGAAAAAAATATAAATAACAAAACCATTACGACTTCACAATTTCATACATAAACATCAATGGTACGTAAATCTCTCTCTCTCTCTCTCTCTCTCTCTCTCTCTCTCTCTCTCTCTCTCTCTCTCTCTCTCTCTCTCTCTCTCTCTCTCTCTCTCTCTCTCATATTCTCATATCAGACAGCAGTGTAAATATGCAAAGTGCATTTTACATAAGCCGTGTACTTAGCACCATGCAATTAACTTTTACAAACCACACCTCATGTAAATATTAACTGAGGCGGGGAGAACACTGACGTATCACCGACGTTCGTAAATGTTAAAGTATCATTTTATTCACATCATCGCGTTATCGGTCTGCCACACACGCTGTCAAACGCGGGATCTGGCAGTAGAATTGAGCAATGGTATGATATAGAGGCTTTGTGTGTGTGTGTGTGTGTGTGTTTGTGTGTGTGTGTGTGTATGTGTATGTGTGTGTGTGTGTGTGTGTAAAGATAAGGGAAACGTTTTTCACATATGTATTCGTAATGGTCCTTAGAGTAAACCGTACTAGATGAAGAAACGTGTTAATTAATTACGCTGTTTATATACTGAAAACGACAGAGCTCTTTCGTCATCTGTTGATAAATGGTGTTGCATAGGAGAACGTTACTCTTCTGTTTATTCGAGTTAAATGTTTACATGACACAGGAGAATAAACGTTTGTCACTTGTTTATTCATGTTGGTGTCAATATCACAGAGACCCAAGAACGTTTTTCATTTGTTTACACGGGACTGTACCTAAAATGGTAAAGATATATCTCCCTTTTATACAGTGGAGAAAAAAATAGTTTTCATCGCAAAATATCCGATGAAGAAGTTAGCGGAAAAATATGTAGTAATTTGATGCTGCCTTGTCACTTGTGATACCCAAAACACTGTCCATGGTGAAGTGCTCGCTGGCTGGTGTCAATTTCCAAAAGCCATGTTTGTTTTTTACGGATCTCAAGTACAGTTGACACTTGAAATACTGCAGTAACAGTATCGTTTTATGCGTTCATCCTGTGCCTCCTGAAGTATTTTACTTCGGACTTCAGACAGAGTGAGACGAGAATAACTAGTATTTTCTACAGGTATCGAGCGTGTGAGTGCAGTTTTCCAGCCAACAGTTGTTTATTGACTTTAACTAATTTATCTACTGATTCAGATGCACGACCCTCACAGTCATATGTTTACTGATACACACTACCATATTGTCTCTATCTTTCTGCTCTCTTTAGCGTTATCTGGGATCAAGCGCTTATCTCTTTACTTCAGATAAAGAGGCGGGATTCTATTATCAGGATTTAACTTATACGGATCCAGAGGGCGATGTTCCTACCCAAGTCACCAAGGGCGGAGTGAGGAGGAGATGAGGGTCAGCACTTTGTGTAATTGTCGACAACGAAACTAAAATAAAAGAAAGAGCTACAACGTTCATACTTCTCATATGCATTCTTCGTGAGAGTAACCAGAACTAGTATGTTTCTGAGGCCAGAGGGTCAAAGTTCAAGGCCACAAATGCCCCAAAGCAGTGTGAATTGCCCACGTGTTCGACAATAGTTAAGAGTTCTCGATGGTAGTAATGTGTTATAGTTATATGTTATAGTTTTGTTGGTGTTCCTGTGGGTGGGTGGGGTGGGTGGAGGCAGTGTGGATGGTGTTGACGATGTGAAATGAATTCCGAACGAAGCAAAGCAAGTCCATGATACCTTACTCTCCAGGACAAAACACCCTGAAACTAGCGATCGAAAGTACACATCAGCGTCACATGATGATACCAAGTCGCATCATGACGCTAATTCATCGCTCGAATCGTTGGTGTGCTGTGACGATCATGCGATGAGTGTGACGGGTTGCAGCCACTGATGAGGCCATATCGGTCGACCCACACGTTTATGGACGCGAGGATACACCTGTATTTATGACCCATCGTAAATATGAATGGCAGGCGACTGACGCTCGTTCACACACACACACACACACACACACACACACACACACACACACACACACACACACACACACACACACACACACACACACACACACACACATACACACACACCTGAGCGGATGCAAGGTAAAAGGCTGTATATGTACTTACTCGTGAGAGCTTCCTTGCCCGGCTCAGCCAATACATACACAATTTTCAATATTCTCTGCCACTTTAGGGGATCACTGTGTTATATATCCAAGCTGGGTTACCGGGTGTCTTTGTGTTATATATAGGGTATATATATCCAAGGTACACTCGAACTTTACCCTTCTGCACTCAAGCAAGACACAAACTTCTAACGGGATATGTCACTCTATCAAAGTTATGACCTCAACTTTGACCTTTTCACGTGTCTAAATATACAAATATCATCATTCGACACACACACACACACACACACACACACACACACACACACACACACACACACAGATCGAAGCTAATATCCTTCATCATTGCTTCTCGTAATAAAACTGACCTGAGACACATTTATAACCCTCGACTCCTTGATCAAATTTCGACAGAGAATTCGCTTCTTTTTGTGAGTTTCCGCTAATTCGTGCATACCGACCGACTGCTTCACGAGAGGCATTTGTGATTTTATGGTAACCGTTTTGGAGTAGTGAAGGAGGAAGGGCAGGTGGAAGTGGAGGACATAAGTGGTGGAGGGGAAAAGGGGTTAAAGAGGAAAGGGGGGGTGGAGGAGGAGGAAGGAGAGGTTAGAAAGGAGAAGGAAAGTAATTCGGAAGGATAAGTAGAAGAAGAAGACGGATTAATTAGATTGGGAGAGGTGGTTGAGGAGGATAAGTGAGAGAGGTAGGAGACGAAGGAGAAGGGGAAAAGATGAGAGTATCTTACTAAGGACTGAGACAAGTGTTCAGATAAAATGGAGTACCAAAACAACTGAGACGACACAGAGACACGAACAAGAAGATAGACAGACAGGTGCACAATATAATACAAATCTTCTGCAAATAAAAGATAAAGTAACACGAGTAAACTTTACCGTTGAGTACAGATACATGCCCCCCCCTCCCCCCCAAAAAACCCCGATAAAAATACAGACCAAAACAATCACTCCTCCAGACACACAAGATACTCACCACCTGGTTCTTGAAGAGGCCCTTTACGGAGAACACAGCATGCGGGTGTTCAGAGCTGGGGATGTACTGGTAGAACTGGGAGTTGTCTTTGTACCACTTGAGGGAGTACAGAGTAGCATGTTGTTGCACCACATAGTCACACTCCAGGGTCACGTTCATCCCCAGAGCCACATAACGGGGCACAGTGAACCGCTGGACCTGGACCCAGGGGCCACGTACCGCGAAGCTGGAAGGAGCATGGTCTAGCTCTGCCCAGCACACTGTAGGGAGAGAAAATGGGAGTTAAGAAATGTGTTGTGGTGATGAAAAATCGAGATTAAAAGGTCTCTTACACAGTGATAATGGGTGAAATATTATTGTGATCGTTGCAGCCAACTCTCAGCCCCCCCCCACCCCCAGCCCCCACCCAAAAAAAAATGCAGTTTAACTTTTCTATTTTTGTCCAACATTTTTCTTTGACATTTGATAATTATTACTGGAGGGTTGACCTTCACCAATGACCTCTGACCTCGATTTATGCTTGAAGTTGTTGAAAATAGCCCTGTGCCTATCGTAAGGGCTACACCAACCAGCTTTGATGTTTGATAACAATTGAATCAGAATTGCGGCCGCTCGAGTGTGAAAAGACAAATTGACAAACAGAGACAGAAATAGTGACAAATAGACTTATAAACAAACAAACCGAATCGATCAATAATAGTAACAGTACCATAACAAATTCTTAAATAGTTGATCTAAAAACCTTCTGTGAGGAAATATATTTTTGACTCTTAAAACACAGGAGATAAACTTAGGTTAACGAACACGAGTAAATTCTCATGTACATTTCTCCTTAATGTTTGGAATTATCATTTAAGAGGATCACTGTATGTTAAGAGCTTTTGATGTACTGTTGTAAGTCGGTCATACGTATGAATTTATGTTCTGTGCATATATACATAGGTACAGTATATATATATATATATATATATATATATATATATATATATATATATATATATATATATATATATATATGAGTGTGTATACATTTATCACTGTTATGCTGCAAAAGGGGAATGGATGACTTTCACTCACATTCACTGGACGATGTTGAAACGGAAACATGAAAAATATTCCAGATATTTAATTTCAAGCACTAATAATTTTTTGGTTCTTTGTTAACGTCACCCATGTAAGAACACACACACACACACACACACACACACACACAGTTCAATGTTTTAGTTAGGTATAGTGAAGAAAAAGACCATTACATCAATTCTTCGTTTTAATGATGCTCACTGAACCATTTTTTTCGGGGGCTTTGTCTTTATACATCTATATTTGAAGACCGTGTATTATGTAGCCGAGATTATGTTCCCTTAAGAAAACAAACGTAACTCAAATCAACACAAACGCAAACTTGCCTTAAGCGAGTAAACTGTGGGTGAAAATAAACCTGAGAGAGAGACAATAAGGAGGAAGGATAGAGCAAGGGAGTGTGTGGGTGAGAGGGGTGTTAGTGTGGAGGTGTGTGTAGGTGAGAGGGGTGTTAGTGTGGAAGTGTGTGTGGGTGAGAGGGGTGTTAGTGTGGAAGTGTGTGTAGGTGAGAGGGGTGTTAGTGTGGAAGTGTGTGTGGGTGAGAGGGGTGTTACTGTGGAAGTGTGTGTAGGTGAGAGGGGTGTTAGTATGGATGAATATGTGGTTGGGATGGTTTTAGTATGGAGCAATATGTTCTGTTGACTTCACGGACGCAACACAACATAACAATACTCGAATTATTTCCACCGTCTTAACGACAATGCCTCGGATTATAGGAAAAACAAAATATATCCGATATTCTTTATCACTGACGATATTTCCACCTCCTTTATGTCATTTTGTCCAATAAGTATTTTTATCTCTCGGTCACTTACACAAAGAGGAAGATTCAATATCAAGGCGGAAGTGGTGGTAGTGGTGTGTGTGTGTGTGTGTGTGTGTGTGTGTGTGTGTGTGTGGTAGGTAGACGAACACCGCCACCATATCCCACCACTACCTTGATCTGGTGAGGGCCGTCGTGTCAGAGATTATTAAAGTTGACGTGTTGGCTTTCTGATCCACCCCGCCGGTCACGCCTTGCCTGCAGGGGAGGAACAAGAACCACGCCAGGGAGATTGAACAACCACGTCAGAGAGAGAGTTATAAGAAAGATTCCAGGCAAACAAAAAGAACATGGTCAGGAAGACACATCATCAGGACAGGGAGGCAGGATTATATAAAACAACAAGTCCCTTGTGACGGTGAAGAGCAGTGAAGTGTTTTGGGTGACATTTAGATAAAGAGGAGTATAATATAAATAAATAAATATATATATATATATATATATATATATATATATATATATATATATATATATATATATATATATATATATATATATATATATATATATATATATATATATATATATATAACTAATTTGTTTCGTTTACGACATTTCACCGGAAGGCTCGGCAGTTGTTGCGTGCAACCCAGCTATTTACTAACAACACTGTCAGCTGCACAACAAAGCCCTATCGCAGATCCTAGCTCGCGTCAGCGTCCATCGTATGTACTGTAGAACAAATGTACATACAAGTATGACGGTGTTATTTATGTCGACAGGAAACATAATCATGAAAGCATTGGAGAGAATGTTTCTAGAAACTAAGAAATGAAAAAGCAAGGCGAAACTTCTCAGAATGAGTTGCCCAGAAAAGCAGAGAGCTGTTGACACAGCTGTACAGCGCGAGGCATAAGTGTCGTAGACGGCCCGGAGGAGGACTTAAGTGGGGGAGGTGACAGTGGTGTGTTAGAGTATAAACACTGGCTGGGAGAAGGAGCAACAAGGTGCAAAACGAGTGGACTTCTACAAATAGAATAAGCGCAACCGAGGCACACGGATATACGGTTAGGGGGAGATTGAGGGATTGGTGGGAATGTTATGAACTGAATGTTGAAAGATATATGTAGATTACTGAGATAAACATACGGATTGAGAGAGAGAGAGAGAGAGATTGATTGAAAACAAACAAACAAAAAAACATAACAGACTAAGAAGAAAAACTACCTCACTTCACTTCTCATTCCAAGAATTCAAAGCAAAAAACAAAAAATCCTCCCAAACTACACCCGAACCCAAAAGGCTGAGGACATGACGAGGGGACAGGGTTAGAAGACAAACCCTCTGTGGACTCGAACATCAACCATCCTGACCAAACTCACTCCAGAAGCCATGAATAAATAAATAGTTTTTCACTGACCCACGAAAATCGGTCCGAGCGATTCGAATACACCGGAACATTTACACGAGCAAAAACGAAAGATTGGATTCGCTCTCAGAGATCTTTGTTGATGCGCTTTTGTCGTATTTGGTCAGAGAAGAATATTTTCCTCCGACTTCGTGTAGACGTTTGTGTGGTGAGGTTTCTCTTGAACGGACTTGTATATATGGCTGTTTCTCGTATGGCACTTAAAACAAAATACTATTACCGAGATATTAAACGCTTTTAATAAGGGTTATGCTTACCTAACCTAACCTAGCACCCAAACCGAACTTAACCTAACATATCTAGATAGATGGTTAGATAGACAGATAGATAGATAGATAGATAGATAGATAGATAGATAGATAGATAGATAGATAGATACCCCTGCCACCCTTTACCCTCCCCCACCTGTAACACTCATTAGCAAATGAGTCGAGTGTTTTGGGTGATACACACACACACACACACACACACACACGCGCGCGCGAACCTCCTCCAGCCACTCACTATGTTCGTGTTTGTCAGTAGTCGCTGAGCACAAACACACAGTGTCCAGTCAGCCGCAGTCAACAGTCACTGAGTCAGCAAGGAATTTCACCGAAGAGAGAGATTATTTTGACGGTCTATCGGATGTGACGTAATTCTAGCTTAAGTGGAGGAATCTTCCCTCAATATAAAGAGATTCTAAGTAATAAAAATTGATCTTACCGTATGTGAATTAATCCTACCTCATTCACTGCTACGGGATGTGATCTTGTGGGGGTAAACCAACAATGGAGTGTTTATACCGTAGCCCGTCAGATTAACATAGTTTCATATATTTGGTCTGTAGAGCCAGCGAACACACACACACACACACACACACACACACACACACACACACACACACACACACACACACACACACACACACACACACACACACACACACACACACACACACACACGAAATGTATACTGTACAAATCTCATTAGTGCAAACGGTGGCACTGAATGGCCATAGAATCCAATGTAATTAAGGGAAGAGAGATAAATAGCTATATACGTAGTAAATTTATAGATAGACAAACAAATATATGTATAGAATTGTGCATAAGTAAATAGATATATGTACACTTGTATATAGCGAGATAGGCAAATATAAATAGAGGGTCAGATAGATGGATAAATACAGAGAAAAAATATAATAAATGAAATATATAATTAGAAGACTGGATAGATAAGCATATATATTGAGAGATATTGTAAAAGATATAAACAGAGAGAGACAGAGAGAGACAGAGGGAGACAGAGGGAGACAGAGAGACCTTGTTAACAATACAGGAGTCACTGGTGGAATGGCAGACTCTCCATACTACATTGATAGGTTGGTGTGTACCTGCTGTTGGTGGTCGTCACACACACACACACACTATTATAGATATGCAGGTGATACATACCTGTGTGTGACGCGAGGATACCTGAATGTGTTGGAACTTTTGTCTCTTTTTCTCTTTTCTCTCTCTCTCTCTTTGTTTTTCCATCTCCCTCTCTCTCTCTCTCTCTCTTTAATTTATTTATTTGTTCTTTGTGTGTGTGTGTGTGTGTGTGTGTGTGTGTGTGTGTGTGTGTCTAAGATTCTCAAGTTAACACGTACACGAGATTGACCCACTACCTTACATCACCTGCCAAACGCCCAGTACCTTACCCAGTCGGACGCAATAATAACTAATAATAACACGTCTAATTACCCAGAATAATTACATCCGCATGTAAACTAAAATAAATTGTGTTTTACTACTGGTAATTGTAGCTAGTTTGGATTATAAAATGAGATGTTGATGGCAATTACCGAAATTACTGGAGACTCTGCCTTAGTGTATATGAAAGTGAAGTGTTTTGTGTCGTGGAACAGCAAGTGATATGCGTCAAGGGGGCTTGCTACCTCCCCTTCTCTTAAAATTCTTGTGAGTTCTACAGGAAGTATTCTTATGTCGATCAGAAGT